CCCCCCCCCCCCCCCCGGGGGCCCCAGGTAAGGAGGTATAACTGCAGAGGTCTGGTAAACCCTAGATCCTTACCTGCTTGCCTCGTTTTCCTGGTCTTCCTGTGGGTCCCCTGTGTCCTGCTATCCCAGGTTCACCCTTTGGACCCATTTCACCCTGGAAAGAAAAAAGAGAAGCAAGAGAGGAATTAGGGTATGTGGAGCAGGCCCTTCCCTGCAGGTCAACTCAATCCTTGGCCACAAAGGCCGTCTACTAGATCATCCCAGATCTTTTCCAAGTGGGCTGCTCTGGGAGACTGGAAGAGTGATGAGGTCATGTGAAAGGTAGGTAGGCTTTTCATGGACCAGGAAGGAAAGGAGGTTATCCTGGGCAGGTGATTTATTATTTGAGAGAGACAGCTTCCAGGTAGCACACATTTTAGTGTTCCAAATCACCATCCAGAATGGCCAACAATAGAGTTGTATTTCAGTCACAAGTTTGCCTGTGACGCCATAAGCTATTGGGGGGAAACACTTGCTCTTTTAGTTGAATTTTATGTTTTGTTTTGTTTGGTTTTTAGCACAAATTCAAATCTATGGATTTTTTAATGATTAAATACAGTTTTGACAGCTATCATCTCTGGGAAGTTTCTGTTCATGTAATGACCTTTACTAGGGTTGTACATTCCTCACTTTTCAGTAAAAATTGGTTTGAGTCCCAGTTCACTTCCATTTGATTTAGACGAAACTGTTTGTGGGGAGACTTATGTTCAAATACTCAATACAATAATTGTAAAGGCATGGAAAGCAATATAAACAATATTCCTAATTGAAAAGCCCTATTTTGAAGCATCAGAACGAAAGGCATCAATTGCCCGAATTCTATAGTTTAAGGCTAACCTTTCGTTCTCCATTTTAGTTTCTCTCCTTCCTTCTTCCCCATGGTCTTCTAGGATCCCAGCCCCTCTTGCTGTTTCTTTATCAGTGGTTCTCAACCTTCCTAATGCCGCGGCCCTTTAATACCTCATGCTGTGGTGACCCCCAATTTTATTGTTACAAATTGAACATAATTAAAGCATAGTATTTAATCACAAAAACAATATGTAATTATATATTATAACGGTTTTAGGCGACCCCTGTGAAAGGGTTGTTCGACCCCCAAAGGGGTCGCGACCCACAGGTTGAAAACTCCTGCTTGAGATCATGAACCACAGGGCACTGTTCCCATAATTGTTCCAGCAATCCCTCTAACAGCCCAGAATGCACCACCAACAGGCTACATTTAGCAATTGCAACCACACGAGCTTCTGCTGGTCAGCAGCCAGTATCCATGAAGAGCTGCCCAGATACTCAGAGACAGTGAACACCCAGATGACTGTTCTCATGGAAGTCAGGGGAGGTAGAACACCTGGAAAATTCCAGGGAACACCAATATAAAGCAAGGATCAAGCAGAGATCTCTGAAATCATCTGCCAGCTCAGCCAATGTAATGGATTTGTCTTGACCCAAGCTACCAACATCCTGCCTCGCCAAGAATTGTCCTTACACCTATGATTTCTTTCCAACCCGCCATGTGCTCTGGGAGGCTGGGCGGTGAGAGTGTGAGAAGAGAGATGGATTCTACGTGGCCGTGGAGATGTTTGCACAATTTTCCATGGCTGTTTGCAGGGACCGAGGAGTGCCTTCCTTGTCTAGGAGAAAACAGCAGTATGAACAGCATAACTTTTATTTTATTTTTTAATTATTGATTTCAGAAAGGAAGGGAGAGGGAGAGAGAGAGAGAAACATCAATGATGAGAGAGAATCATCGAATAGCCACCTTCTGCACGTTCCCCACTGGGGATTAAGCCCACAATCCAGGCATGTACCCTTGACCGGAATCAAACCCAGAACCCTTCAGTCCACTGAGCCAAACCAGCCAGGGCAGCATAACTTTTTCATCAGAAGGAAGTGTGGCCCTTCTCTTCATCAACTGGAAGCAGCCAGTACTTACTTAATCTAATTTCTCTCCTCTGACCTAATTATGGTTATCATATCTGCTCTGTCTTAAAGCAGCCTGCCCTGAAAGGGGAAAAGAACTCCTGATGGCAAGTCTAGTAAGTGGAGCAGAGACCAGAGAAACTGTCATCTTTAATTTTACAGTAATAGATTATTCTTTGATGCTCACTGTTGTACTGAATGAAAGCCTAGCCTAAATATTTTCAACTAAAATCTTTTTTTTTTCTTGCCCTAGCTCGTTTGGCTCAGTGGATAGAGCATTGGCTTGTGGACTGAAGGGTCCCGGGTTCGATTCTGGTCAAGGGCACATGCCCGGGTTGCAGATCCCTGGTGTGGGGCATGCAGGAAGCAGCCGATCAACGATTTTCTCTCATCATTGATATTTCTATCTCTTTCTCCCTCTCCCTTCCTCTCTGAAATCAATAAAAAGAATTTTTTAAATCATTTTTTCTTTTTTAATGTTTCCTTTAATTTGCCCATTTACTTACTCTATTTTTAACCCAATACCTCATCTAGGGTAGCAGAAGACATTTTTTGACAGCTTAAGACAGTGATAAATGATAATAAATTAATGTCAGATGACTGAAATTATTTAAATATGCTCTACTGACTGGAGAAAATCGGATAAGAAATTGTTTATTCAAGTTTGGAAAATAAAACTTTAAGGTGAACTTGAGGAAAAGTTTAGAATTTTAAGAAAGCATCTCATTGGCATGTTTGAAGAACACTGTACTCTGGGGCCAAGGTTAAAATAACAATTTCCCACATCAGTGCCTCATGGCATGAGGACCCACCGCTAATGGGGTTAGATTAGGGGGTTCTTGGTGGCCATCTGTGCATTCTCTCTTCATTCTCTGACACCTCCCCTCACCACCCTCCCCATTCTTCTTCCCTAGATCTTAACCCTAAGGAAAACCTTTTTTAAATTCAGTCAATTGTCACCTTCATTGTTTTTGTCATATCTTAACATCACTTTATTCTTATTTACTCAATATTTTCTCTTTAAGTCAACTGAATTAACTCCTTTTTTTATTAAGCTTTGTCCCAGACAAGATATTCATGAAATCCCACTAAGTATTTAACTATTTAAATAAAAAGTTTAACTAGCAAATAAAAATTGCTTGCTATCACCAACTGAAATAACTCTGCTTACCTGTAGCAGGACATAAACCTCCCTGAAGAAGTGCCGACTGGGTGTAGTCGGCAGTTGCATTAGCCAGAGAAGCCTGCACCTCCCCCTGGGACCTTTGACCACTACGGTTCAGACCTGAGCCCCTTGTCACAAAGCTCTCTGCCTTTGAACATCACCACAGCCCTTTAAGGGGCAGCAAGTACAAAGTAGGGCCTCTGTCCATCAGGGAGGTGTCCTTGCCCTCCCATGACCTGGAGGAGGTCTCAGACCTCTCACCTATATGTTCAGCAACTTGCTCCCCTTTCAAACCAGAATCTTCCATAGCGAGACCTGCTTTCCCTGCCTCATGAACAGAGAGGCAGGCCTCTTTTTGTTGCATTTGGATGATCTAGTTTCTTCTATTTTTTACTACTTGCAGGTACTTACTTTCTGCCCCAACATTCCAGGAAATCCCGGGAAACCCTGTGAAGAGAACAACAAATAATAGTGATTGCCTCTGAATAACTCTTGAGAGGGCTGTGGAGGAGCTTAGTCAGCCATTTTCAAGATAGAGCCTTGTCAGCCAGCCAGTCAGCTAATCAGACAGATACACAGACAGCCAGTCAGCCAGTCATCTAGTCAGGCAGATAGATAGACAGCCAGTCAGCCAGCCAGTCAGTCATTCATAGACAGCCAGCCAGCAAGTCAGTCAGACAGCCAGTCAGTCAGACAGATAGATAGTCAGACAGCCAGTCAGCTAGTTAGACAGATCACCAGCCTGTCAGTCAGCCAGCCAGTCATTCAGTCACAGCCAGTCAGTCACAGCCAGCCAGTCAGACAGATAGTCAGTCGGTTAGCTAGTCAGACAGATAGACAAACAGTCAAGCAGTTAGCCAGTCAGACAGACAGACAGACAGTTCGTCAGTCAGTCAGACAGCCAGTTAGTCAGTCCGCCCATAAGATGGGGGTAGGCAGGGTTCACCACTTCCATTGTATTTGATCATTTCTATGCAACAGCCATTACCTTTTCTCCTTTGGGACCCAAGTCACCCCTTTCACCTCTGGATCCCTAGGAGAAAACCACAAGAGAGAGTACATGAATTAACACCATGGGAGAAAAAATGGAGCATTTTAAACTAATAACTCCCTATCCTATGTCAATACCCTCATTTAACAGGCAAAGAAACAGGTTCAGAGATTACATGACCTTCCCAGGGAAGAAATGCTTTGTGATTTACCTTCTATTTGGACCCCAAATACCTCCTGCATTAATAACTTCAAGACACAGAAAATTCTGGGTCCCAGAACCTCTCCCTTTCTATAGGAAATCTGTCCCCAGGTTCTGGCTGGGTTTTCTGTTTTTTGTTTTTGACAGACGAGAAGGTTTGTGGTGATAGCTTGGTCTAAAGACACACATCTGCCATCTTTCTCCAGCACACCACGCAAGCTGTGTTCATTCTCCATCTGGCACAGCTTCAGTGCTCATCTGCTCCATATGAGGGCCTCGACCTCCACTGGGAGCTCCTCCCTAAGCTGCCTGCCCTACCTCAGTGGCCCCTCACTTCTCTCAGACCACTGATAAAAGATGAGGAATATTGAGGCAAGGTCACTGCAGTCACTGACTGAAGAGAAGTGGGCCCATCCTCACTGGCCCCGGAGCCACTAGCCCAGACCAGGCTCTGGGAAGCTGGGAGAGAGAAGCACTAACCTTTTCCCCTCTGGATCCAGGGTAGCCCTAAAAGAAAGCAGAAGGTATATTTACAATCAGCCTTGTCGGACCACTGGGTTTGGTGTGAGAGCAGACAGAATCCCTGAATGTGGTGGTGAGATGTGCCTCATTGCACTGAAAGTTTTAGCGGGGGCTGCAGCATTCAATACCAAGAAGACCCTAGGGATTGTGTCTACATCAGGCCTAAAGAGAATGCTGCTTTTCTTACCGCCACCCTCAAAGGCCTGAACGAAGATTTCCATCTGTTTTGTTGTCCTGCAGGAATGGCCTCTCTATGTCCCTGCATCCCAGCCCTGGTGTCCCCCAAAGGCTGGTAAAGACAAGCACACTGGCATTGGGCTGTCCAACATCTGTGACATCAGCTGGCCCAGGGTGGCAGACACACCCAGATCCTATCTTTGTAGATAACAGCTGCTCCAGAGCCTTAGTGAGAAGATCTGAGAACATCCATCTGGACCAACACACTGACCTTGGAGCCCATTGGTCCTCTTGACCCTGGTAAGCCCATCAGACCCAGGTCACCTTTTTCGCCCTGTGGGAATCAGAAGGAGGGGGAAAAAAGACCTCTAGTGACATTTCCTAGAAAAACTGAACTAGGAATTTATGGGCAAGATCAGAAAGGAACTGGGACATTAGGGCTAGCTTGTGAATCTGAGGACCCCAAATACTCCTTTGCTTACTCCCAGGGGCCCAATTCTCCACACTTCATTCTGGTATTTGAGATTAAATATGAAATGAAATTCCCAAGGCAGAGCAGATCTCCAAAACTAAATTCAAATTCTCACTAAGATACTTTAATGGAATAATGCTTGATCTTTTCTTAGAGAAGGCTGTAGGAGGGTGGGAGAGGGGGAGAGCATTGGGGCATGGGGCCCCAGAGGACAAGGTGTCAGCACCAAAAAAACTTCACCTGCTTTGCTCTTTGCATAGGGTGGATCTTTCAGACATCTCCATATACTCTCACCCTAGGGTTGCAACCAAGTAAAGTGAACACCATCCTCTGGGTGTGTATGATGAAGGCAGGGAGCTAAGACTCATGGGTGAGCTCTGTTGCCCCTCAGAATCATTTGCAGTTGGAACTTTCAGCACCCTCTGTGCTAAAAAGCTATACCAGTGCTAACCAGTAGAAATATAAGGTGAGCCACATACTTCATTTAAAAATATTTTAGAAGTCACATTAAAACTATAACTAAATAGGTGAAATTAACTTTAACAATATATTTTATTTACTTTAATTAATTTAATCTATCATTTCAACATGTAGTCAACATAAAAATTACTCATGAGATATTTTACATTCTGTTTTATACGATAAATATTTGAAATCTGTTGTGCATCATTGTACACTTAAACCACATCTCAATTCAGGCACTAAATTTTCATCCAAAATACATGATCTCTATTCAGAGTTCATAAAATTTATGGTTGAAAAAGCAGATTCACATACTCAACATATGATTCACATACTTAAATGTTTTCAAATAACTGAACTGAGTAAAAGTTTTAAAATTTAAACTTAATTAAAGTTAAAAAAAAGTCAGATCCTCAGTTGCACTAGCCACATTTCAAGGGCTCAATAGCCATATATGTCCCATGGCTGCTATATTGGGTGGCTCAGCTTTATACAGTTGATTTTCAAGACATATCCTTGGGACTTCACTTACAAGGATTGGGAACAGTTTTCTACTCCCTTAAAAATTCTGCCCGTAAGTGAATCAAACTATATAGTGACATTTACCTGCCCAAGTCATGGCCTCTACACCCAATAATCTATGACCAAAGTGAGTGGAATGTAAGCAAAGGCATGGGAGTGGGCATGTTAGCTTTCCATAGCCTGCCTGAGGAAGGGAATTCATCAGCATTTGGTGATCCCTCTCTGAATGTAGGGTTTTAGTTGTTCCAGTCAGCCAACCCAACCCCCTCAACCCTCCACCTCCAGCCAGATCAGCATGACAGGCCAACAGCTTTCCAGACACAAACCCCTCTTAGGTCATCTCAGGGAAACCAAAGAATCACATGCTAACCCTTCAGGACAAGGAGAATCAGGACCCCGGTGAAAGAGGTCAGCAGCCCCTCATTTTCCCCCTACAGGAGCAGAGCTTTGGACCGACTGAGGTCTTGCAGTCCAAGTGAAGGAGGAAATATTTGGAGGCCTACGGACAGTCCTTGTGCTCTCTTCTTCCGCTCCATCTTGAGGACGTGAGTGTCACTCACTGTGTGCCAGGGGCCAGGGAGCTGCCATCTTCTCCCTCAAGTCCCGATACCACATGAGCCCTGAGATTGCACCACACTTACCCTGGGTCCTTCAGGGCCAGGCCAGCCGATGGGCCCAGGCATACCAGGAACACCCGGGGGGCCAGGTCTACCCTTCAAAGTCAAAGAACAAAAGTCAGGAAAATTGGATTTGTTTCCCTCCTTCCAGGAAACAAGATTTGTCTCTGGGGCCCGGAGGAGTATGGGGCCTCTAAAGCACAGCCTCAGGACCCTCATCTCCAAAAATTGATAGCCAAAAAGATGGATCACTTAGGTACAAGTGAAAGCCCATGGTGTGACACTGTGTCAACACACAAGATCTTATTCTACTAAAGAAATAAAAGGTGATAGAGAAGGGATTCTAAACTTCTTGGTTTTTCAATCTTTATCACCTCCACCCACCCACCCACCCGTCCACTGCATTCCAATAGGTTCTCCCCAAGGGTGGGATGTAAATGGCATAGGATTATGTTTGGGAAGCAGTAGCAAATGCTATTGGTTCTCCCTCCAGATCTTTTTCACCTGCTCAGTGTGCTCATCCCCCAGGGGCTACCTTCCTTGCTGTAACAACTCATTCTTGCAACCTGCAACTGTGGAGTTTCTGTGGGCGACCGGATCTGTCCAGTGATTTATGTATGTCCCCTCCCTGTAGCCAAGAGCCTGGCTCCCTTACCTCAAGGCAAGACACTCTGTGGTGCAATTCTTACTCCACAGCTCCCCAAGGATCAGGCTGAAGCTGGACATCACCTGATACCACTCCCACACTGGACTTCCTCCCTATCCTATCTGGATGCCCCTCTTCTCAGACTCCTCTTGAAAGAGCTCCCTTAATAACCGACTCACTTGCACATGGCACATGCCATCTCTGTCACTGCTTCTAAGGAACTCAACCTAAGCCAGAGGCTATGGAAGAGTAAGCCCTGAAAGAAAGAGTGGGAGCAGGGACTTGGGGGTCTATCTTGATCTTTGAACACACTGGCTAATTTCAGTTAGCCTAGCTAGAGATGTGGAAGGCTGAGCCCCTTAACCAGGGATTACAAATGCTGCATGTGGCCCAGCTGGTGTGGCTTAATGGTTAAGCATCGACTCATGAACCATGAGGTCCCAGCTCCATTCTCAGTCAGGGCATATGTCCGAGTTTTGGGCTCCATCTCTAGTAGGGGCGTGCAGGAAGCAGCTAATTGATTCTTTCTCATCATTGATGTTTCTATCTCTCTCTCTCTCTCCCTCTCCTTTCCTCTCTCTGAAATCAACAAAAACAAAAACAAACGAACCAAAAAAACACACAAAACACCCGAAGTACTGCATGTGTACAAATTTCTACTCTTGCCTCCCACATCCATGGCACACATCACTAATGAACCATGGCCTTCATTAGTTCTGAGCATGGAGACCATGCCAGATTCCTTTCTGGCCCAGCAGTTCGGACAACCACTGTGCCTTGGCCGGAGTTGTCATCCGGGCCCTAAAGGGTTGTAAATTTACTTCCCAAAGGTCTGTTTGAGACTCTAATTGATAGTGAAAAGTATTTGAATAAAACATTCAACCAAAAAATAGTAATTTATATTTAGAACCACAGGCATCTTTCTTGGCCAAAGTTTTGCACCTACTTCTATCATCAAGACCTACAATTTCAGCACCAGCATCCATTGACCTCAGGGAATGGCTGCTGGTTTTCTTCTTCCTGGCTGTAATGAGAGTCTTGATAACATGTGTTTGGTTCACTCAGAGTCCCTGTGACCTTAAGTAACTCCAATTTATTACTGCAAAAGCCGTTTGTTTCTGTCTGTTTGGCACTTTATTCTGGTTTAATCTAATAGACAGTGAGAGTCATTTTGTGCCACTGGTTGGGGCCTTGGAAGGTTTCTCTGATGGAAGGCAGGACGAGATGCTCTGAAGCTGTGGGGAATCTGGCTGGGCTGGGCAGCCTCTGGAAGAAGTCCAAATGCCTGGCAGTAGCTGGCTCCAGCTCCCAAGCAAAGGGGTGGGCAGAAACAGCAAAGGTGCTGTTGTCATCATCAGGATGGTGGTGCCACCACTGTCCAGTGGGTTGGAGGCCGCAGTAGTGCACCGCTGGTTCCCCACCCGAAGGAGTGCACACACATTCATGCACGCACGTGGAGCACAGTTGTCATGTAATGCTGACAACATAGACCATACCTTCCTTCCTGGTCGGCCAAGCTCCCCCTGTGGGTGGAAAAGGCAGGTAAGTGGAGGCTGCTTTGGAAGAGAAGTTCTGGAAGCAGAGGGCTTAGTAGGGCTGATGTCTGGGCATGCCCATGTGGCTTGGTGGCTTGGCCACTCACAGCACCCCTGTTATGGCAGTGGGCCAAGCCAAAATACACTGGTGGGATCCCACACCTGCAGCAGCAGCCCCGTCCTCATGGAGCCCAATCTCGTGCACTAAGGCAGAATTCCCACATGCCTTGAAATCTCAGCCAGAAAATGTTCAGTGGCATCCCCAGAAAACAGGCTGGAAGAGAGTAGTGACTCATACCTTTTCTCCCTTTGGTCCTGTCTTGCCTGGATGCCCCGGTGGACCCTACACAACCAAGAAGCAAAGAAAGTATACGTCGGACCAAGTATACAAAAACACAGGCTGGAATTATCAAGGACAGGGGTGCGGGAGGCAGGACCGAGGGAACACCCTTGGAACACTCCTACAGCAGCCTCACTCTCTATGCAGACTCAGGGCCCCCAAAACCCCATGAAGGACCCTCTTATGCATGCCAGCCCAGTCTCCTCCTCTGTGAACCCCCTCTTCTAGCTTCTCTGAGCTGTGTTTCCAATGGTTCAAAGGCTGCAATGCTCATGTCTACTCTTTGTGAGTTTAATTTTCTCCCTGGAATTCTTGGGTTGCCTGAAATATCCGGAGTGTTTGGCAAGAACAAAAGAAGATACGTGAAGAAATGCTGTTTGCTGAAAACAAGAGGCTTCACTCCTCTCCTATCTTTTCAGTTGCTCTTACCAAGCTTCCCTGGGTCCTGACAAGAGGGAAGTTACACTTTGCACACAGAAGAAGATATTTAAAAATTCCCATGGTGGATTTATGGGTACCAGATACAGCAAAAGATATTAAGAATGTGGGCAAGTAAATACTGCATTTTTGTGCAATTGCCCAGCCATGAGGTGGGGCTGACTCCAGCTCAGGGACTCTAGCACCTTTGCACTAAGGCTTGGCACACCCACGGCAGAATACAGCTGCTTTCTGCTCATGCGTCCGTGGAATGATCAGCAGGTTAACTGTTTCCAAATTCCTCCATATAGCAGAGAGGAAATCCATCAACCACCACCCCTCCCCTCCCCCACAAGCCTACTACTTTATCCCCAAGATCTGCAGGTGAACATGGCTAACACAAAGCCTGTTTGAAATATGATTTTATCAGACTTGTCTCTAAATGACAGCCCCCTCAGCCAATGGTTCCCAAACCTATCTGCACATTAGAATTCTCTGGGGATCTTTTAAAAATCCCAAAGACTAGGCCATGCCCCAGACCAGGAGAGTGGCACAGGCATCAGGAATTTTTGAAATTCCCAGGGGATTCTAATGTGCAGACAAATTTGGAAACCACCACCTTTGGCTTATTCTCCTTCTGCTTGGGGGAGGGGAGGACAGAGAGTTTTTGTTCAATTTTTCAAGCCTCGGTTTTTTCCATTTCTTAAAATGGGCTAGAACTATTTTACTAGGGTTGTGCTTTAGCTCCGACATTCCCATGATTCACTGAGTATCTCATTAAAATACAGATTCTGATTGAATGGTGGAGAGGAGTGTAGTAGAGAGGGGAGGATGAAATTCTGCATCTGGAACAAGCTCCCAGATGATGCCAACGTTGCTGGTCCACAGATCTCATTTTGGTGGGGACAGCACCCACTCTGTTCTAAGAGAACGGAGGTGGATGCATGGTCCCCTGGAGTTGGACAGCACAGCCCCCATGTGACTCAGATAGGATTGTGAGAAGTTAGAGATGAGCAAGTGACTGGGGAGCTGCTGGTCAGCAGAGAATTCCCCTTTTTTCCCCATGGTCTGTGGGTCTCCCTGTGCCCTGCCAGCTGCCAGCATAGTCTGTGGGAAGACAGAAACCCACCTGAGAGGTGCTCCTCAGGGTACCCATCTTGCCTTTCTGCAGACTTCCCGGCCCCTCTGGCCAACTCCTTATTCCTTATTGCATTTAGCAATTATTTATGGAGAACTTACTATACCCCATGAGGTGGTATAGATGGGCACATATTATGAACAATACAATGTCCTCAAGACCAGGGGTCAGTTAACTTTCTCTATAAAGAGCCAGATAGTAAATATCTTAGGCTGTGCCTTTAACACAGCAACTCTGTCACAACTACTCAACTCCATCCTTGTAGCACCAAAGCAGCCAGAGACCATAAAACTTAAATTGCCAAAACAAGCCAGATTTGACCCATGGACAACAGTTTGCCAACCCTACCCACACAGCTTATATTTCATGGAGAGGAGACCAAAGAGATTAGGAACAAAAAAATTAATAAGGAAGCTATAACAGCATGAGAAAAACTGGCAGAGAATTAAAATAGGCCATTGGATGGAGAGTGATGGGGAAGGCTTGGTGGTCGAGAAAGGCATTGCTAAGGAGGTGACAAAGGAGCTGGCCGTGGTAAAATTCAGAAGGTAGAACATTCCAAATGCTGGAGCCACCAGCGTAAAGTCCCCAAGGCTGGAACAAGGTGCTTGAGGACCCGAGACACACTGTGGCTGCAAGTGGACAGAGTTGGTGGCATGAGATGACGCAGGAGATACAGGCCGGGTCTCCGCATGTGGGGCTTTGTAACCAGGGTGAGGAGTGGATCTCTCAGTCTTCCTGGACAGAAGCCACGGCAGGGTGACCCAGGAGGACAAGATAACTCCTAAGGAAGGTACTTGGGAGACTGGTTGCTCCTTGTTCCCTCGTTCCCTTCCCCATGGCAGGCCCAGAGGCCCAGGCTAGGGGACATTCCTCTTAGGGGAGCCCCCAACCAGGCAGCCAGGGAAGCCAGGAGTCTGGGCCCAGGTGTCTTTGCTTGCCTGGAAATCCTTTCTCTAGTATTTTTGCCTGTTCCTCACTCTTCCCTTTAACTTTGCTGGGGAGGGGTAGGCTGCTTGGTAGCCATATCTGGGTCAAGTGGACTCAAGGTAACAGGTTCCTCTTTGCCTCCACTTCCCTGCATTGGATGCAGGTGCCTCTGGGCCCATTGAATGGGGTCAATGGCCACATAAGGGGCAACCCACTGTCATCAACTGTTTTGTGGTGGCTATAATAATAACCACATCCATCTACGCAGCATCTCACTTGATCCCCCATCCTAAATCCAGTACTGCAGGGACAATTATTATCCTCATTGCATGAATGAGGAAACCAAAACTGGGAGGCCAGAATTCACCTAAAGAACCAGCATTCTATTCACGTGGCTCTGGAGCTGGAGGTGAGCCAGAGAAGGAAAAACAGCCCCATATCACAGTAAAACGGGCATTTCTACGAGGCTTCACTTCTCTGAACAGAAGACAGCAGGAGAGGAGAAGAGGTCTGGTGGAATGCACCAACCTGGGGGCCGGGAGGCCCAGGGGAGCCGAGTGATCCTTGGACACACGGGGACTGCGTGGTCTCCAGTTCCAGGATGAGATTCTTCATGTCTGGGGAGAGAAGCTTCAATACAAAGCAATACAGGGTTATAGGTCAGACTTGCGGGACAGAAGAAGGGTCACCACCCTTGACACAGACCTGCTTTGTAGACCAGTTCCCAGGACTGGTGCTTCTCTTACACCCCAATGGGTATCCTAAGATGACCTTCCTGGCCACCAGTGTCTGTTCTCTCACCTGCTCTTGAGACTCACCTGGCTTGAATGGATTACAAAGCCACAATGGTGGAGTTAGGAAGCTCATTTCAGGGGCCTCTATCCAATGTCTGGGACAGCATTGTCCAAAGGAAATAAAATGTGAGCTACCAATGCAAACCACATATACAGTTTTAACTTTTCTTGGTAGCCACATTAAAAAAGTAAAGGAAACAAGTGAAATTAATTTTAATATATTTTATTTAACCCAGTCCACCCCAAATATCATTTTAACACATATTCAATATTTAAAATTACTAATGAAATATTTTACAATCTTCTTTTCATATGAAGTCTCACAATTCTGTGTGTATTTTATATGCACAGCTCAACTCAATAGCCATACGGCTAGTGGCAGTATTGGACAGTACAAGTCAAAGAGCTTCTGGAAAGATCTGAGACTCTCAAGTCCCCACCTGTTATCTTCTAGGTCAGCTCTCCACATCCTGCTTTTTCTTTCACCTTTTCTGCTCTTTCCAAATTCTGTTCCCTCTCACACCTCAGTCTGGCTACAGGAGGGCCATTTCCCGCGTCACCTCACAGAAACAGTCTATGTCTAAGACAGGCCATGGAAGGGAATTCCATGGATACTTGGGTGGGAGGACAAACAGAAGGGGAAATTCTAGGCTCTGATGGGAGCCTAGAAAGTCATCCATTCACCCAAGAGGGGACACTTGGCCAAATTCAGTTCCCTGCTGAGAAGAATCCCCTCCATAACTCAGCGAAGACAGAGGAAGAATAGACATTACCAGAAGCTGGAAAATATCCCTTCCCTGCTCAACCTGCTGCATGAGAGAAGATTCTGGAGGAAGCTGACTGAGGGATGGGGAAGTGGGGTAGTGTGGTAGGCACTGAGGAGCCCCGTTTCTGTTCCCTCACATGTCCTAAGGTACTCACCGGACTTCGGCCTTCTCTGAAGAATGGTGGTGGGAACAGGGGGGGCGGAGGAGGTGTCAGCAGGCAGCATGTTTTGTGGCTGCCACGTTTCTTCTGATCCAGGCCAGGAAGGGCTGTTTAGAGAAAACTGCTGCTCATTAGCATGGGGCAGGGCTAGGCCCCTGTCATGCCTATTGGGCCCAAGGAGACCCACACTGCCACCCCAGACTTCCCCATCTGATTCCCAACCTGTTAGATGTGAGTACACCTCCTGTTTGCTATTGGACATAGGCCTCCCTTGGCCTTCGAGAGATGATATGTGTAAGATAAGCAAATGGCATGGACACTGACTATTAGAAAGTCCATTTCTCCTTCTTCAGGAAGTGACTTGTCACTTTGCAGATGGAGCAAGGAATTCAAAGTTAAACAGACTCATATGTGCCCCCAATAGTTGGGGAGAAGGAAGTCATTGACTTTGATATTGTGCTTGGGAGGAAGTGTTCAGAGAGGGAGGCAGCCAGGGCTAGAGGTAGCATTGATTATAAAAGACCATGAGCCATGGGTTAAGATACATATTTGACTCCAGACTCTACGCACACATTCTGTGTCACCCATGCTCACTAGAGAGTTACAGTTAAATGTCTCAGTACATGGATGTGAAGAGAAGAGAGGGCCCTGGACCCTCAGAGCTTCATTGTCTCATGGAATCTCTTGATGTACAGGTTACTGAGGAGAAGAAAACCAGGGCTGGTGTAGGAGCGAAAGAGGGGGAACAATCAAGGGTACTTTTGATGTTGCAGGGGACCCAGGTAACAGTGGTCAGTGGGGGGAAATCTGCCAAATTTTGTGTTAAACATTTGTTCATTTGAGCACATGCTTGGCCAGACACTGGGTCAGCCCTTAGGGGAGGGCAGAAAGATGCCTAAACGGTGCCCCTGACCTAAGACCGTAAAGCTTGTGGAGCTTGAGCAGCTGCCACGACCCTTCTGCTCATATCACACCTTCTCCTCTCACATCCTGGAGACTTACTGTACATCAAGAATTGTCAGGAGCCGCCTCCACCAGGAAGCTTTCCTTGACTTCCCAGGCTAAGGCTGAGGGGTCCTGCTATGCTCTTCTTTGGGTTCACTCCTATATTAACCTTTATCTATGGGTGAATCTGTTTCCTTGTATCTCTCTGACTAACCTTTGCTTTCCCAGAGGATAGAAGCCATTTTTATCCCTAAGGTCTAGAACAGTATCTAGCATACCCTAGATATTCCTCAAATGTTTGATAAACAAATTTTTTTTAAAAACCACTTATGACATGCCAGACACTATTTAAATGCTTCACATATATAAAATTTCCTGATCCTCACGCAACCCTGAGAGTTAAGTACTATTATTATTATCATCACAATCGCATCACCCCCATTTTACAGATCACTTAATTGAGGTAAAGAGGTGAAGTGATTGCCCAAGGTCATACAACTAGGAAGGGACAGAGCCAGGATTTGAACCCATCAGTCTGATTCCAGAATCCTTCCCCTAGATTTCTACACTACAACTCCAATGTGGGTGGAAATAAAGGTCAGGAGCTAAGAAGAAGGCAAAGGACCCCCAGAGCAACTACCTGAGACTGACAGTACCAGTGCCCTTCATCCAAAGACCACCAGGAACACACCTGTAGCTGAACACAGCTGTCTCTATTGACTCATTGCTAAGAGGGGGCACGCACTCCAGGGGGAACAAGGGAGCATCCCAGTAACAGGGCGTGAGAAAGGATTTACTCCAGGATTGGGGCTTTGGCAGGTGATTTGGGAGGAGACAATAAGGAAGAAAGTCAGGTCCTGCTCTGGATTGGATGCTGTCAGGAAGCAGGGCTAGTCTATGACTATCTTAATTCTTAGCTAGAGGAGGAGAAGGGAGGCTGATGCTGGGGCTGGCCAGGCAGCAGTAGTCACTCATGTTAGCAAGCATAGAGGGACAGTGGGTCATTTTTGTGGCTGGTTGATAGTCTTATTTTGTCTGTGTCTGACACGGGGGGCAAAGTGGCCTTGCTCTTTCTTGATCCGTTATAGGTGCAGAGTGACCTTGTCTGATGTTCTGTGAGATCATTTACATTCGACAGGAGAGCGCGTGGCCTGGCTCTGAGTAGCAGGCCTGCTCCAGCTGTCCTGGGCTGCTTTTCTCTTTCTCAGTGGTAAACTCATATAGCTATGTTATCATAAAACTTGACATTAATGCCAATGGTATTACTCTTCTAGTTTCTTCCAAAGCTAGGAGTGGGCAGCTTCCCTTGCTCCACTCCATCTCAGGTGTGTGCAGGAGGATGATTGACACACACCAGCACCCAAGAACCCTCTCAGGGTCCCCCAGCTGCAGTGCCTCCTCTGCTTCCCCTTGGCCTCAGCAGACAGCTAAGGGCTGAGGATGCACAAAGCCCCTCCCAGCAGCAAACACCTGGGGAGCTGGCAGGTTCACGTGGCTCATGTGCACGCCTGACCATTTCTTTTTGTAGACCATACGTGGCTGGCAATGTGTCCCTTCACCCCATGCCCTGTGTGGCCTTCCACTGATGAAAGACCCTGTATTGCTTAAAGCAATCACCTCTCATTTCTTCCTGGAAACTGGAGAACTCTTCAGTGAACATAAATTATTGGTTGCTTTTCCTGCAGAGGTATCTGCATGGTTCACCCCCGCCCCATCCCTTTCCCCCCTGACCTACTTCATTTTCAGCAGGTGAAGACCATCTATTTCTGCCCCCTCCCCCAAACTCCCTGGAGATGTTTGTTTTTAGCACAGTCTAGTTTATTTACAGCTCATTCCAACTCAGAATATTTCCATCAGGTGGACATGTTTGGGAACAGCTTGCCCCCACCCCCCGCCTCTTCCCAGACAACTAAGCCAGGACTTCACATGTCTATTTTGGTGTCATCTGAGTGGCCTGTGGCTCTCTCTCTGGACTATGCTGCCTCCATGGAATCATGTCTGAGCTCAGGGTCCAGGCTGGAAAAGCCCCAGCCGGCTTTGCTGTGATGGAAAAACCCTGAATGTATGTACATGGGGAGCAGAAACCTGTCTGCAGCTTGTGGCTCAGCCCTGCCAGCTGCCTTGGAAATGCCCACAATGACAGAATTTTAGGACCACCTGCCCTGACTCAAAGGCGCTGAAGTCATGTTGTGCATGCCCACTGCAGTGCCAAATCACGGGCAGAAACATGCCAAGTCCAGCTTTGGTTAGGGAAAATGATTGAGGTTGTTTTGCTGTGGCTGATGCTGGCTTTGCCCTTTGGACTCAATACCCTCTTGACTCTGGGCACATCCTTGGAAAGTGACTCACTCCAATTTACTCTTGGAAAGATAGGGACTTGGATCAAAGAGTGTGAGTCCGGATGCAAGTGACCCTGTGACATGGCACAACTCCCTTTTCAATCTGAGATTCGATTTCCCCACCTGGGCCACAAGGAGCTTGGCTCAAACTATCATCCAAGTACTTTTTATGCATCTGACACCAGGATCAACACCGTGTCCATCTGGATCTCCCACTCACAAGTCCAGCCCATGACTAGGGTACTACAAACAGCCCTTTCTGTTTCTGCCTCCTGTTTTGTATCAAGAAGCTCCCCCCCCCCGCCCCAAATCAAGCAAATGTGTCATTAGAAGCCACCAAAGGAGAAAAATGACATAAACATCCTGTCTTTGCAGGTTGGGAAAATGAAAGATGCAGCCACATGTTAACTATTCTGCAACTGCTCATGCAGTTGGTGGACCGTTCACCTTCCTCCTCCTCCTCCTCCACCAGCTTTTGGGCCTTTCCCTGACTTTCTGAGGAACCTGCGAAGAGGAGAGGAAAGGTGATGAGCACAGCATCACTAAGTGTTTGGACCCTGACTGAGATGGCTCAGCTACAATCAAGTTCTCATTTTTTCTGGCTGCAATTTGCCTGGTTTTCCCCAATTCACATAATCCAGAGAAGATGTTACCCTACAACTTTCCTTCAATCCCCACCCATACCACATACACCTTGAAACACAAATTCTGATCCTAAAAGTGGAAGGCATTTGAACCTCTCTGAAAGACCATATGAGAATTTGCCATCTTCCAATTTGCTCCTGAGCAGGTGTGGGGGGCAGGTGAGAACACAACCCACAACAATTGGGCGGTTTGGTGGCTCTGGCCCTTGGGATGGTGAGGGGCATGACCCAGGCCAGTCAGGGGGAGCATTATGGAGAGCTTCCCGGCCCCCCAAACGAGGGCTGGCCCCAGACCACAGAACACAATGTTACTCCAGAGCCAAGGCAAGGGCAGCTGCCAGCCTGCCTCTCTGAACTCAAGGTCAAGAGAGGGGCGCGCACGCGCGCGTGCACACACACACACACACACACACGAGCATGTATGCCGACTCCCACCCCCTCTCCACTGTCAAACCCCTTAGGTTACAATTCCAACACAGGCTGAGAAGTTAAGATTTAAAGGCTGCTGCAAGGCTCCCAAAACAAGTCTGCTTTCTGAGAGTCTTTTTTTCCAAAACAATGCACACACGCATGTAACTGCACATGCATGCTACACACACACACACGCACACACAACTCACCCAAGCAGCAAGCTGAGTAACAGAGCAGTCCTGAGATGGTGAGCAGATGAGTGAGGCTGAGTGATGGGCCTGTCATTGTGGGCAAGGCCAAAGGCGGACTGGCCAGAAAGCACATGCTGGCGACAGGCTGAGATCTGGCACGCCCCCGAGAGGTTCCAGTGCCTGGCTTGCCGGGCACTTGGGGTAGGAGCCGGCCAATCCCTGCTTTGGTGCTGCTCCTGGTTCAGATGCCAGTAAGCAGTGTGCTGGCCTCTCAGGAGGCTGCACTAGGGGGCGGCTTGGGAGAGAAAGAGTGCTCTTGGCCCAGGGGAGGAGGTGAGGTTGGGAGCCTGGGATACTGATTGCCACTGGGAGCAGAGATGAAACAGGGTGTAACCGATCACACAGGCTGCTTTTCATTCAGCTCAAACACTGCCGTGACAATACTGTGCTGGCAAGCTTCAAAATCCACACCCATTGCCACTGCCCCGGGAGTCTGCCCTCCTCTGCTCAGGGAAGGTCTTTGCTGCCTGGGTCCCTTGGTCTTCACCATGTCTATGCCAAGGTGCTGCCAATCAAG